TTTGGCATCCCTAAGAGATCATCTGATCAACCTCAGGCTTTAAATGTTTCTTTTTTTTTTTTATTGTGAAAATACTGTACAGAGGGGTTACAATTACATGGGCCAGATAATGAGTACATTAAATGTTTCTTGTAGCCGAAAGGGGGTGGGAAGAGGCCACTGGACTCAGGCTTGCTTCCACAAAGGGGCTGAAAGGCTGTGGGTACTAACTCTATCAAATAAAGTCATCTACAGGGCCACCGAGACTCTGACAGGGTTGAGGAAGATATCCAGCACCAATTTAAATCTGAATCTGTCCCTGAGTCACCATGCCTAGAGGCATGGTAACTTGATGCTATTTTAAAATCCTGTAATTACCTTGTAAACAGCACAGATTGCCGTGTACCTTTATGTGTTGGCCACACGATTTATTACACATAAATGTTTGTAAGTTACCACTACTTTCCCCTATTCTGATCTTTCTTCATCTATATCAGGAAAACCAACAGCCCCTGGGGTCACACCCTCAAGGGGCTCTCCTTACATCTCTAACTTTAGAGCTAGTTTCTCCATCATTGTTTTGAGCCCAGAAAGGTCCTCTCCATCAGGAAGCAAAATGCTGTCTCACTGAAGCCTTGAGGCAGATCCATCTTTATGGCAGCAAGGAGCGGGTATGTACCCTCTGGCCGGTCCTTCCCTCCTCACCCTTCCCTACAGGACAGAAAGGAGGCAAAGATATTCTGGGAGGGTGTCCCAGCGGCTGCCAAGGCAAGCACGGGAAGGTAGATGTGTTCCCATATAAATACATGTTTCTAGGCATCAGGCAGACTTCAGCACTAAATTCTCATTCAGACTGTTTAGGGTGGAGGCTGTCACTACCAAAAGTGACCATATCATGCATAATATTAGCCCTCTGGAACCTCTGCCCCCCCCCACCTCCACAAAGGCAGCTGGATATCTCTGGCATATTCCTGTCATCCAGTCACTGGTGATACTGGATTTATCACTTGCCTACATCTTACCTTCTGTGTTCTAGGAACAGGACTTTCCCTACATGGGCTCCTGGGCTTGGAAGGATTTCAGGGGTAGGAGAAACTTGGATCTCTTGTAGCAAGGAGAGAGGTGCTCCTAGGAGGAGCACCAGCCAACCTGAGAGCCAGCTCCATCCTCCTGGATTGCCTGGAAGAAACCTAAGCCCCACCCACATGCTTGTATAGAAAGGCACTGGCGACCAGGGAAGAGCTGCTATGGGCACTGCCTAAGAGACAAGAGTAGAGACAAGGCTCAGATGCCTGCGAGTCAGGTGAGTCAGGTTCAGGCAGAAGAGGAAAACAATGGTAAGAGAAGCGCAGAGCCACTACTTGCTCCTAAGGGATGTGTGTGGACATCTGCAAAGGTATCCTCTCTGGGCAGGCTGGTAGAGCCAACATCAGGGCGCAAGGCTGGGAGCGTGGCGGAGAGAGTAGATTTTTTTTACCTCCCACTTTCCCCTCTGCCAGATGTCCTTATACAGCGAACCACCAGAACAAATGTAAGTGACAGCCCTGCTCAGAACAGCAGCAGCACGAGACAAAAAGGCCATGGCCATTTACATCCCACAACTGTCCTTCCACTCTTCCAAGTGGCCTCCACAGAAGCTTCGTCCCAATGCTTTCCCGGCCTAGTTCAATTCATACCCCATCTATCTTGTGAGCCTTCTGAAGTCTCCCTTGGCCAAGAAGCAATCTCTGACCACCCCTTTAGGAGAAGCACACTTCTCTGGCCCACTGACTGGCCATCTTTCTATAGCTGTGCCCTCAAGACTATATGCCCGCATGGCACTTATTAGAGCACTTGACCCAATATAAAAGAGGTGCTCAGAGCGCAGTTGCTGATTGACTGGGATGGTACACCATGGAATGGGCCAAAAGGGCCCCTCTGGCCCTAATTGGGTTACCATCAATCCCTGGGATTGCCTGGGAAAAAGACCTCTCTGTCTCCCGCCACAGTTTCTCATGTAAGAGGCATGGCGGCTGGATAGAAATCTCCATGGTTTCTACGGGCACTGAGCCCCACCTTTCAGGAACCCAAGTCCAGGGCTACCACCAGTGTTCTGTCACCCACAGTGCCTGGTCCAGAGCAAGCTGTCCACCTGGCCTCTGAATTACTTCAAAATAAAACAAGCCTAAGTCTCTTTGCTTTGGCAACTTGAGCATTTAACTTGGTGTTTTATTTGCCAAACCACAGACACTGAATCCAGCCAACTCAAGCAGAAAAGCCCTATTAGGGACAGGTCTGCCCTGGGAGTTCGCCCACAATCAGTGGGACAATTGGAGAACCAGAATCAGACAAAAGGCTGAGGGGAGAAACAGAACTACAGCCGAGGGAAGGCCCTGCACAGAGGCTGGTCAGGACACACTGGAGGCCCCTGGACACCTCGTCCACCACCGCTCACTGGATCTTCCAGGTTTTCTACTTTAACACCAGTGAACTTGCCAAGGGATGGGGTCTGCTTGCATGCAAATTCCTCATTAGTAAGGCTCTTTAGGAGCTAGGTAGCCAATTCTTTCCTTCAAGAATTTGGAAAGGGGACAACAGTGGATTGAGTAGTACTTTCTCCCTCTCCCCCCCCCCAAATCTGCCAATCAAACTCCAGAATATGAGCTTATTTTGAATAAGGATCTGTGTAGATCCTTGTGTTATAATCTACCCAAGAATCTGAAATCACCCTGCATTAGGCTGTGTCCTAAATCCAGTAAGTTTCCTGGAAAAGAGACGAGACATAGAAAGGAAGGCCGTGTGAGACAGGAGGCAGACACTGAGATGATGCAGTTCTGATGGAATGGCTTCCAGTGACTACCAGAAACCGGGGAAGAAACACGGAATAGACGTCGCTTCTGAGCCTCCGAAAAGGAGGCAACTCTGCTCACACCAACTCCAGACTTCTGGCCTCCTAAAGTGGGGGAGAATAAACATCTTTTTCTTTGTGTTTTTTTTAAACAACCCATTTTGTGGAATTTTGTTAGGACCGCCCAAAGAAACAAATACAGGGCTCAGAAATGTCAAAAGGTCAGGCTGGGTGGCATGTATGGAGGCCGTGAGAAAACTGAAACAGTAAGGAAAAACAGGCCAGAGGCACAGTAAGGACTTCCCAGCTGTAGGCTCCTGGGATGTTCCAGAATCAGCTAAGCCTTTCCCTTTCCTGCACAATTTGGTTTCAGTGGCTGTGATGTCTCACCTCAAGCTTGTATGTGTGAGAGAGGGGAATAGAAACATGTGACGTGCTGCACGGGCTAACCTTAGTAAGGGCGAGCCAGTCAGTACAGGGGACTGCTGCCTCCAGACAGAAAAGGGGTAATGCCCCAATTAGAAATCCAATTAGAAAATGCCCTTTAAGAGTCAGCAATCCAGGCTCCGGGCATGAGGCCACCACTCAGTCATCACGGATAAGGGGGCTGAGGGCTTGGCCAAAAAGTGTTTGTTTTGTTTGTGACATTCCATAATCCATAATTGTTTTTTAATGACTAGTTTCTCCTAAGGGGGATTGGGGGCTGGAGGGACTCTACTGCTGTCTGATGACCAGAGGGCGTTACCTTCTGACCTGCAGAGTGAAGACCTGTCAGATAGGTGAGTTTATAACCCCGAAGGTAGAAGGGGCTGGGGAGAGGGGTTCCGCTTGGACAGAGGAACCAGGGAGCCCCTTGGTGGCTGGCACTGACCGGGGCAGCAGACGCTGCACAAAGGAACTCTCCGGGGAACGGAGGAAGGACAGTCTGCGGAGTCTAAGGGGAAACTCACACTTATGATACTTTCTAAGCCTTGGAGCGGTGGAGGAAGGGGAAGAGAAGAGAACCTGAAAGCCAAGACCCAACCCAGGCCTAGAAATCACCGCTTCTTCAGTTTGGGCTTTGCTCTCGTCCCCCCCCCTCCCCATCTTAGGTAAAAAGTCAACAGATTTCTTTCCCGTCCCTTGAACCCTGGCGGAGCAGGGGCGAGCCTGGCAGCATCGCTGTCCCGGGCTGTGCATTCCCATCACTCATTAGGCACTGTTAAAAAAAGAAAAAGGAGTTTCAACAGAAGAAAAAAGAAAAAGGAAAGGCCCGCCCAGGGGCCCCGCACACATCGATGTCATCGTTGCACGAATGAGGTTAAGTGAAGCTGAGAGGTGAAATCACTTCTCCCCCCCCCTTTCTCGCCCCCCCCCATTCACCTGCTAAGCAGCAGCTGGGCTCCAGGTTTCCTGCAACTCCCAGCGCGACGCGGCGGCGAGGCTCTCACTTCCCGCCGCCCCGCCCGCCCGGCGACGCCGGCGCTCGGGGGAGGGGGGGTGGGGGCTCCCGGGAGGAGTGTGCCTCGGCCCGCTAATCGCCCCCCTCGCTCGGGGTCTCCCCCGCCGGGAGGCGCGCCAGCCCGGCGCGGAGCCTCCGCCCGGCTCGCCGATTGGCCGGCGGTAATTACGGGCACGCTCCGGGACCGCATACATTATGCAAATGCCCGGTCCCCGCACGGGGCTGACCTGCCGCCGCGCTCCATTCACCGGGCCGCCTCGGGGGCGGAGGTGGCCGGGGAGGGGGGGGACGCGCCCATTGTCGCGCCGGGTACTTAAGGGGGTCCTGAGGCCGGTCGTGTGCCACTCCCGGTGCTCACACGAGCTGATCGGATCGCCGGCGACGTCACTCGGGAGACCAGCCCGGGGCGCGTGGCCTCCGCGGGCGAGGCCAGGAGGAGGAGGCGGAGGCGGAGACAAGGTGGCCCCGGCGTCCCCGCGCCCGCCGGAACGTAAGTGTGCCCCCGACGGCCGTGCGCTCGGCGCGGCTGCGCCCTCTCCGCCTCTCCCCGCCGGTCCGTCCGTCCGTCCGTCGGTCCGCGCGTCGTTCCTGAGCAGCGCAC